CCCAGGCTGGAGTGCAATGGCGCGATCTCGACTCACCGCAACTTCCGCCTCCTGGGTTCAGGCAATTCTCCTGCCTCAGCCTCCTGAGTAGCTGGGATTACAGGCACTCACCACCATGCCCAGCTAATTTTTTGTAGTTTTAGTAGAGGCGGGGTTTCACCATGTTGACCAGGATGGTCTCGATCTCTTGACCTCGTGATCCACCCACCTCGGCCTCCCAAAGTGCTGGGATTACAGGCTTGAGCCACCGCGCCCGGCCGCCCAGCTAATTTTTAATTTTTTTTTGTAGCTAGGTTACAGGCAGGCATGTGTTGGGTAGTAGAGGGCTCTCCCCGACCCATCAAGAATGTCAGGTGATGGTTCAACAATGATCTCATTACCTCTCTAAAAATGATAATTTGGCAGCTAGGCTCCAGGGAGAGACCATCTCCTAATGGTCCACAGATGTTAACATTAAAGTGTTCATTGAATGCAGGGGCAGGGAGAAGCAAAATGGGCTTCCAATAAAATCTCAGGTGTTGGGCGAGTGAGCCCGGGAATGCACATTAAGAGAAAAAAATGGAGGAGTATGAACTTCCGGGGGCACACTCCACCAGAAAAGGGAAGAAAGCCTCAGATGGGCATGCATACAATTTCCTAAACACCCTGAGTGTGCTCACTTCCTAAGGGTAAGGACACTGCACACACGGGCAGCCCACCCTAAGGAAAGAATCAGGGGTGAGAGGCACATGACACTGGAGGTGGGCCAGGCTGTAAAGGGCTAGAACCAAAATTAAACACTGCACTTGTTCTTCAAGTTGCCCACTGGGGACTCTTCCAAGTGTACTTTTCATTCTTTCCTGCTCTAAAGCTATTTAATATACTTCCACTCCTGCTCTGAAACTTGCCTCAGTCTCTTTTTCTGCCTTATGCCCCTCAGTCGAATTCTTTCTTCTGAGGAGGCAAGAACTGAGGTTGCTGCAAATGCATACAGATTCTCTGCCAGTATCTCAGATGCCTCCTACTAGTAACAGAGACAGGACTCTCGTTTTGTTGCCCAGGTTGGTCTTGAACCCCTGTGCTCAAACAATCCTCCCACCTTGGGCTCCCAAAATATTGGGATTACAGCCATGAATCACCACACCTGGCCTGAATTTTAAATTTCGTTGAATTTTAATCAATTTAAATCTAAGTAACTACATGTGACTAGTATAAACTAAATATAAAATTTGAAGCCTCCCCTACCACCAATCTGCAACTATCTGAAGGGACTCCCTCCTTGGCCAACGCACTCTAAAATTTAACCTGAAAAACTGGTTCAGGCCATGATGGGAAGTGGGGGTTGGATATGCCTCATTAATATCCTCCACCATTAACGTTAACAAAGACATTAAGTCTGATGAGAAACATGAACAATCTGTTTTCTTTTTCTTTTTCTCTTTTTTTTGAGACGGAGTTTTGCTCTTTTTGCCCAGGCAGGAGTGCAGTGGTGCGATCTTGGCTCACCACAACCTCCGCCTCCCAGGTTCAAGCGATTCTCTTGCCTCAGCCTCCCAAGTAGCTGGAATTACAGGCATGTGCCACCACATCTGGCTAATTTTGTATTTTTAGTAGAGATGGGGTTTCACCATGTCAGTCAGGCTGGTCTTGAACTCTTGACCTCAGATGATCCACCTGCCTTAGCCTCCCAAAGTGCTGGGATTACAGGTGTGAACCACTGTGCCCAGCCTAGATATTTTTTTAGGGTACATACTGTGTGATTTCATCATGCAAAGTTCAAAACTGTAATAACAGAGGTCAAGAGACAGCTACCTTTGGTGCTATCGACTAGGAGGAGTAAGAGTGAGCCTTTTGGGGTGCTGAAAATGCCCTATATCTTGTTCTGATGGTAGTGATGAGGGGGTCTGCATAGGTTCAAATCCATTAATTTCTATGTAAATTCAAGATTTGGGCACCTAGTAAGGTGTAATTTTTACCATATATATGTTATATATACAACAGTAAGTAATATTTATATTATATATGTATAATCCTACCTATTATGTATGATTATGTGCTATAAAGAAAATAGGCCAGGCGTGGTGGCTCATGCCTATAATCCCAGCACTTTGAGAGGCCGAGATGGATGGATCACCTGAGGTCAGGAGCTCGATATCAGCCTGACCACCATGGAGAAACCCCGTCTCTACTAAAAATACAAACTTAGGTGGGCATGATGGCATGTACCTGTAATCCCAGCTACTCTGGAGGCTGAGGCAGGAAAATCACTTGAAGCTGAGAGGCAGAGGTTGTAGTGAGCCAATCGTGCCATTGCACTCCAGCCTGGGCACCAAGAGCCAAAAGCGAAACTCCATCTAAAAAAAAAAAAAAAAAAAAGAAGAAAAAGAAAATAAAGTCTGGGCACAGTGGCTCACGCCTGTAATCCCAGCACTTTGGGAGGCTGAGGTGGGCGGATCACTTGAGGTCAGGAGTTTGAGACCAGCTTGGCCAACATGGTGAAACCCCCTCTCTACTAAAAATACAAAAATTAGCCACCCCTGGTGGCACACGCCTGTAGTCCCAGCTACTTGGGAGGCTGAGGCAGGAGAATGGCTTGAACCTGGGAGGCAGAGGTCGCAGTAAGCCCAGATCATGCCTTTGCACTGCAGCCTGGGTGACAGAGCAAGACTGCATCTCAAACAAAAAAAAAAAAAAGGAAAGAAAGAACGAACGAAAGAAAGAGAGAGAGAAAGAAAAGAAAGAAAAAGAAAGAGAAAGAAAGAAAAAGAAAGAGAAAGAAAGAAAAAGAAAGAAAGAGAGAAAGAGAGAAGAAAGAAAGAGAAAGAAAGAAGAAAGAGAGAGAGAGAAAGAAAGAAAGAAAGAAAGAAAGAAAGAAAGAAGAAAGAAAGAAAGAAAGAAAGAAAGAAAGAAAGAAAGAAAGAAAGAAAGAAAGAAAGAAAGAAAAGAAAAGAAAGAAAGAAAGAAAGAAAGAGAGAAAGAACGAACCAAGAGAGATCCAAGATGGCTGATCACTAGCAGCTCGGGATTGTAGCTCCCAGTGAAAGTGCAGAGAACGAGAGGACGCCACACTTTCAGACTAATTTTTGTTGCTCATGCACCAGGAGATTCCCAGCGGAGGAGCCCCACGGGTCGCCAGCAACTCTTGTGGCCAGCGAGGTGGTTTTGCTGCTGCCTTGGTGCAGCGGTTCTTGGTGCAGAGTCAGAAAAGCACCATCAATCATAATGCTGCTGTTTTGGCCGGCGTAGCGCTGGGAATCAACAAGTTGGACGTCCACGCAGAAACCCAATTATAAAGACAGTAATTATAAAGACTACAGATGGATAAATTTATAACGAAGGGAAGAAACCAGCCTAAAAAGGCTGAGAATACCCAAAATCAGAACGCCTCTCCCTCTGCAGGGGATCACAGTTCCTCATCAGCAATGGAACAAGGCCTGTTGGAGAATGAGTGTGTTCCATTAACAGAAGCAGGCTTCAAAAGGTGGATGATAAGAAACTTCTGTGAATTAAAAGAACTTGTTCTAACCCAATGCTAAGAAACTAAGAACTTTGAAAAAAGATTTGATGAAATGTTAACAAGAATACACAATTTAGAGAGGAATATAAGTGAAATCAATGGAGCTGAAAAACACAACACAAGAACTTCGAGAACTATGCACAAGTTTTAACAGCCAAATCGATCAAGCGGAAGAAAAGATATCAGAAGTTGAAGACCAACTTAATGAAATAAAACGAAAAGACAAGATTAGAGAAAAAAGGATAAAAAGGAACAAGCAAAGTCTCCAAGAAATATGGGACTATGTGAAAAGACCTAATCTACGTTTGATAGGTGTACCTGAATGTGATGAAGAGAATCAATCCAAGCTGGAAAATACGCTTCAGAAAGAAAGAAAGAAAAAAGGAAAACTTTCCCAACCTAGCAAGGCAGGACAATATTCAACTCCAGGTAATACAGAGAACACCACAAAGATATTCCTCAAGAAGACCAACCTCAAGGCACATAATCGCCAGATTCACCAGGGCTGAAATGAAGGAGAAAATACTGAGGGCAGCCAAAGAGAAAGGTCGGGTTACCCACAAAGGGAAGCCTATCAGACTCACAGCAGATCTCTCAGCAGAAACCCTAC